TGCAGGGAAAGGTAGCCGGGGTTTTACCGTTACAAACAGAAGAAGAGCACTGTGCTAGGGACAGCAGCGCGGGATTGTGCACCATTCTCCCGTTGAAGCAAAAACCAGAAACTTGGCGGTATGTGACTTTAGAATCCATCGTGAAGAAGGAGCTGGTGCAAATAATAAAGTTTGAACACTGGCATTTCCACCAGACAAGCTTTTTTTCTGCCTTGTGTAAAGAGTGCCTTGAAAGCTCTTTTGGTTGTTTTTTTTTTGTTTTTGTTTTTTTCTAAGAAATACATAGAATCTGGGCCTTTGATTGGTCCAAATGTGGAGAGCTCTGAGAGACCAGGTTCTCTGGAGATTCAGTTGTCTTTGTAAAAGATCATCGAGTGCTCCCTCCATCACAATTCTAAGTGTACACTCTGGGCAGGCAAATCGAGCGCTGCACCCAGGAGATCTGCGCTTGCTCTAATACTCTGCTTGATTTGCATAATTTGGGTCAGTCATGGGGCTTGAACTCTGGGCCTGGGCACCATCCCTCAACTCTTCAGCTCAAGGCGAGCGCTCTATCACTTGAGCCACAGCGCCACTTCCGGTTTTCCAGCAATGCTCACAGGGCAATTCCAAAGCACCTCCAGTAAGAACAAGACGGAAGTGACCTGGACTGACGTCATGACATCTCCTTGGAAATAACAGGGCCGGATCAAAGCTACCAGTCACAACTGGCTGGGACAGAAAGTGGCTTTCCAAAACCAAACAACTGGCCAAAGAAATGATGCTCAGAGATTCCCAGGAACCCCAGGGGATGTAGGTGTGGCTAAAGGACAGGACGAGGGCCGTTGTAATTTGAGGTACGTAGGGAAGAAGGCAAAGCAGAGGATGTGTTAGTTACATTTCCAATGACCTTTCTATGCTCTCTGAGATGGCATGATTGCATGACTGAGTGGATATTAAATTAGCACACACTTCTTGACCACTCACAGAGAAACTGACCCTCACTGAAAATCCCAGACTTCCAAACCTCCAGGACAGGGAAATCATTTGTGTCTAGAAGCAAGGTACCTTGGTGATGGAATTCAGTAGTCCCAACACCAAGTGAACATTATAATCTTAAGAAAAGTACTAACAGCACCTTTCAAATAGTGAGGCTGCTTATTGTTTCTTTTTTTTTTTTGCAGGGGGGGGGTCCGGTTGTGGGGCCTGAACTCTGGGCCTGGGCGCTGTCCCTCAGCTCTTCAGCTCAAGGCTAGTGCTCTACCACTTGAGCCACAGCGCCACTTCCGGTTTTTTTCTTTTTTTCTTATGTGGTGCTGAGGAATCGAACCCAGGGCCTCAGGCATGCAAGGCAAGCGCTCTACCACTGAGCCACCTTCCCAGCCCTGCTTATTGTTTCTTACTTCAGATAATTATTACAATGACTTAGTACATGCAGCTAAAAGAAGGCATTTTCTATGATAACCATTAGCAGGCATTAGCTTTCATCACAAAGGGCTCTGGTATAAGAATAATCGGGAATCTTTTGCTATTTGCTTACTAAATAATAGCCGTAATTATATCTTACATCACTTAATAAAAAGCATTCCCATATGACAAGAACCGCAATTCAACCGAATTCTCCTGCCCCAATTGCAGTTACTTAAGAGCTCTTCTTGGGTCCAAAAGAAAAGGATGTGTTTTCTTTTCTACTAAGTTCTGTTTTCTAGGCCTTTTCAAGCTCAGGATCTAGCGGACAACTGGCATCGACATACAGACGTCGTCAAAAGCAGGAAACGCAAATTAACCTGCCTTTCCCAACAGATCCCGCTTGGGGTTTGAGGCAACCGCAGAGAGCAGTCAGGCTTTTGACAAGTGGTCTGTGTGAAATCTAGGGGTTTCTTTCCTCTCAGGAGAAGCCTGAGTGTGTGGAATCAGCAGAGACTGGAGTTCCCAGGCTACTGGTCCATGGCGGTTCAGCATTTTAACAACATGGAGCAGGGATGCCGTCAGCTGGGGTCGGGCGTGGCTCCTTCCCTGAGAGCACTCAGCCCAGACCTGGCGCCTGCAGACACAGACGTCCAGAGCTGCGCTTCCCAGAGCTGGTTTTGATCAAAGCCATGAGATGTCGGTGGTGGGAAATGGTTACGGGCTTCTGGGGCTGTGGTCACGGTGACAAGCGCTGGTCTCACCCTCAGGCCAGACGAAGGGCTGTGGTGTGTCACCAGCTGCTAGCACGGAAGGAAACCTCAGAAGGGAGCCAGGGAGTCAGAAGTCTCTGCGCTTTGTGACAACCACAAGTCCCGGACCGCTGGTGAATCCACTCTTATCTAACATTGATTTACTTGGCTTTGAAAGTCAGAAGAAGGCGGGAACATGTGTCCCGCTGTAGCAGTAAGACTGACCAGGAGTGCGAGCCGGAGTGCTTTGAGTTCTTGTTCTTTGTCACAGCACTGTTCCATAAGGCAGGTGTTGCTGGGAAGGTGGCTCAGTGGTAGAGCGCTTGCCTTGTATGCATGAGGCCCTGGGTTCCATTCCTCAGCACCAAATAAGCAAAAAGAAAAAAGCCGGAAGCTCAAGAGGTAGGTGCTAGCCTTGAACTGAAGAGCCGAGGGACAGCACTCAGGCCCAGAGTTCAGGCCCCACGACCGGACCCAAAAACAAACAAACAAACATAAGGCAGGTGTTATCAGCATCCCAAGAAGTAACTTACCTGAGACAAACACGTTATTGACACAGAAATACATAGAGGCTTTCAACAGGCAGATCAGAAAGTGCGGAGGGGTTTCTCTGTCAACATTCTACAGCTCATTGTTTAAAAAGTAATTAAAACAGTCACAAGCATTATCTGGCACCGAGCTGGAGAAGGAAGCCTGCTTGCCCTTCTTAGCCTGTCTCAAACCATTGAAGAACACCGATGCTACAATAAACGTCTGTTTATTTAGCCTTTTTTCAACCTGCTCCCAGAGCCCGAGAACGGGTGAGCGCAGAGCGCCCCCTGGTGAGCAGCGTGAGGAATTCCCCGAGTGAGGGCCACAGGGAGCTAGCGGCCTGTGGCTGCGTCAAAGCTACCCACAAGTGACTGACTGACTCCTGAGCCTCCTGTTCTCCATCTACGGTTCATTCACTCCTTCATTCATTCACTGAAGAAATACCAGGGTGTGCTCCAGCTGGGGACAGGACACTGGGGAGGCGAACTTCACACAGTCCCCTGACCTGGCAGGCTTTTCTGTCCTCCCGCCTTTCATCTTGCTGCAGGCCCACGCCTGGGGCAGGGTGGACCGGCTCTGCTGCCTGGGCTTCCCAGCCAGCTGCCGTCCGACCTCTGTGCGCTCCTAACCCTCGGTGCCTTGAGCGTGGTGGTGGCACGCTGGCTTGAAATTACACGTGTACACGTGTCATTGAGCAGTGACCTGATCCATTCAGAGGTGGGACGTTCTTCCCTGAAACCTCATCTCCACACTTCCTCTAATCAACTGCTACAGGAGGTTTTTACACACGTGACCCTCCGAGGAGGGCTAGTCCCAGAGAAACAGAGAACACCAGGGCGGTGGCATCCTGGAAACGCAGTACTCGGGAGGAGAAGAGAGGAGAATCCCAAGCTCAAGACCAGACAGGGCTATGAACTGATATGCATCATACATACGTACGTACATAAGGAAAGAGAAGATTGTTCTCCATTTGCAGATTCGAATACCAGCGTTGATTTGTGAACTCTATGGCAAACTTCTGAGAGAACGGATTTTTAGGCTTCAGGAGTCTGAATGTTTTAAGTCATGATTGATCCCTTAAGCTAAAGATTCATGAGTGAAGAGTTTGCCTCCCGTAGCTTTGCCCACCCACAGACAAGGTGAGAGTTCAACACCGGAGCCGGGCTCCGCCCTCCCTCCATGCTCCAGCCCCGCCCCACAGCCCACCCCTCGCTCCTAGCCGGTCCGCAGCGCAGACATGGGGCAGCCAGTGGCAAGGCTGCAGCGAAGGGGAAAAGATGGCCCACAGAGGCAGGGAAATCGAAATCGGGACACCTAAGAGACAGAGGCAAGACCCCCAGGGGGGCCTCCAAAGACACCAAAAGCCCCAAGAAGCCGGCAAAGGGCCGGGCTCTGGGGAGGGCTGCCACCAACTCTGCGGCTTCTTCCCCTACACATCCCTTACCTCACGCCGCATCTCGGTGGCCAGCACTGCACGGGAAACATTCGCTTCGTCAGATGCTATAGCCAGGAGCCCCGGTTCTGTGTGTGCCATTCTCTCAACTGTCTGCTAACCAACCCTCCAACACCATTGATAATCAATAAGTCTAACACTAGCGCCCATGCGAGGAAACACAGGATGCAAGCATGCACAACCTCAGAATCCTTAGGGCTCCGGGTCTTTGAGCACACATGAAAATGGAAAAGACACTGCAGCCGGGCGCCGCTGGCTCACGCCAGTCATCCTAGCTACTCAGGAGGCTGAGATCTGAGGATCTCGGTTCAAAGCCAGCCCTGGCAAAAAAAAAAAGTCCCCATGAGACTCTTATCTCCAATAAACTACTCAAAAAAGCCAGAAGTGTCACTGTGGCTCAAGTGGTAGAACACTAGCCTTGAGCACAAAGAGGCTCAGGGACAGTGCTCGAGCCCTGAGTTCAAGCCCTAGGACTGACATAAAAAAAAAAGACACTGCAATTATGTTTTCAATTAATCACTTTTATTAGATTAGTGCTAGATAATATTAATAGTTCTGCCAACCTTTTATATAATCAACATATCATAAATATACAGATAGTTTCCTCACAAATATAAATATCTAGTAGTTCAGAACAATCTCATTTATATGTATCTAGGAAATGCTGTCACCAGTGATATGATCCTTGCCCCTCTTGCCCTCCACCCCCACCCCCATCCTCACCCACAGAGCCCCACGAGAATGGCAATGGCCAGCAAAGAGCATGGACCAGGGACTGGGTGTGTCAGGACTACAAAGTATGGAAGGCAGAGCTTCGGGCACCACGAAGACCGGAGAACAAGGCGCAGCCGGTGAGGAGGGGACATTTCTTTTCTCCTTCAGACCACCTGGTGAACCACGGGGCGGACGCACGTGCAGCCCACAGACACGTGCATCTTCTCCAGCCGGAAGGAGTGCGCGCAGCCCTGGGGCTCCCTCCGGAGGACCAGGATCTCTTGCTGGATGGCCACGGCGTTCATGGAGCTGTCCTCCCGCCCCTGGGCGTCCAGACAGCCCGCGTGTCTGCACCGGGCCTCAGCGATCTCCGAGGGGAAGCGGTGAGGGTCCCGGGTGACGCTGGGAGGGAGAAGCGAAGGGGGGCGGTGAGGCGGGGCCTGCAGGCCTGAGTCTCACGGGTGTGCACACCACCACCACCCCGCCCTTGCCTCACTCCCCGATGCAGGCCCCTTCACCCTCGTGAATGGAGCTCGCCACCCCCTGTCCCCTCGTGGGGCTGAGCGCCTCGGTGATCTGGTGAGAGATCGGCCTGTCGCTCCCCACACACAATGTCGCCATTCAGCGAGGATCCCAGCTTCCAGCCACTTCCACTTGCGTGGTTATTGCTATAGTTAATACTCATCCTGTTGCCCGGAGACTGAAAACCAGCAGTGTGTTTTCAGAATACCACCGGGTGCCCCGGTGAGCCAACCAGGAAGCCTGTACAAAGCAATCCCCGGGGCCGCGTGCTCCTGGGACCTGGACCTCTATTAGCACTGATGGCGTCTACAAAAAGGTTTCCCTACTGTAAGCCCAGGTACGCACAAGGGTACCTTGATCAGACATGCCCCTCCACCCCCGCGACCCTCCCTCACCCCTCGCTTCCCCCTCAAACTAGTCTCCACCAGCATCGCTGTTGCATTTTTAGACATGTAAGTAAACTATTTTAACTATATTCACCCTCTCTGTTTAACACACACACACACACCAGACAGAACCCATTTTGCCTTCCTGTCATTCATCTTTTTCGTGTAGGCTACTTGTTCAAAGGCGGCTCACGCTGGCATCTCATACATGAATGCACAGCGTCACAACCAGATTGAGCCCTCAGTTCTCACTTTCTCCATCCTCGCTACCTCCTCCTGTGAGTTTCCCTCACAGCCTCACCATGGATTCTCGGGATTATTCACCCTCGAAAGTTCTCTCTTCCTCTCCCTCTCATCCCTCATCGAATCCCACAATGACAACCAAGCTCCACACACATAGACACACATAGAGATGACCCTGTAGATAGCCTCAGATATGTGGATCTTTGAGGGGTAACAGCCACATTTGAGGATCTGTAGCTACAGACAAAACCCACCTAGCCTCCGCTTCTCACTCACAGCGCCCCGCCCACACCTCCAATCAGAGCAGATCCCTTACACTCATTTTCCCCATTACCACCTAGCCTCCTATGGGCACGATACTACATTAAAGAGCCTTCTCTTCCAACGCTAAAAGTGTGTGAAAAGGGACTGGGATGGTGGCTCAGTGGTAGAGCGCTAGCCTTGAGCTGAAGAGCTGAGAGACAGCGCCCAGGCCCAGCGTTCAGGCCCCATAATTGATCCAAAAAAAAAAAGTGTGTGAAAAGTTTCTTCGTGAAGAAGAAAGGGGCAGAATTGAGGGGAAAAAAAGGGAAACCAGATGTTGAAACCATTAACCACACAGGCAGACCTAGTCCAAAACAGCAAGCAAAGGCTGAGGCCGGCGCCCGGACCCCGTGTGGAGGGTGACTGTGAGCAGAGGTTAGACAGGGCCCGTGAGCCCAGGCGTGTCCATTCGCTCCGTGTGCAACGGGAGAGTGAACATCTCCAGCCTCAAGCTGTGGTCCTCCATCTTCCTGAGAAAACACAACTCCGTGGTTAATTACAGGGTTTTCTAGCTGCTCTAAGTTTCCTACTGGATGATTCCAATGTGTTGCTCTAGTTCTCACAAGCTGGGCGGGGGCCTGTCCCCTTCCTCCTCCCTCTCCCTCCCTCCCCCCCCCCCTCCCCCCCCCCCCCCCCCCCCGCCATGCTTACTTGTAATCCCACGGGGAGGTGGAGCGGTTCTGGAAGTCCTGGAGCACGGCGGTGCCCTGGCTCTGCCTGAGGATGCGCATGTCCACCCGGACCGTGTTCTCCTCCAAGGCGGGGCAGTGTCCAGCCTTCCGCCCCGCAGTTCCCAGGCCAGGAGCCCCCGCCTGGGGGATGTGAACAACTGCCACCTCCCTCGGGAGGACGAGGCCCAACGTCAAGAGCAGCGGGAACCGGACCTGGGAGGGGGAAAGGGTTGCCATGGTTACGGGCTCGGTTGTGGACCGCAGGCACATGGAAAGGCACGGGCCAGCCCCAGTTGGTGTATGGTCATCGTCACCGAGAATGGAACGCCGTGCCTGATCACACCAGGCTGCCAAGCTGAAAACCGACCTCACCGGCCCGGTTATCCGCGCCCTCCGGTCAGGGAGACAGACACATCAAGGTGTAGGACTGGGTTTCCGTCCCTCCTGGCCTCCTTGTGTGGGCTTTTCTTCTTCCCGACTGGAGGATAAGATTCACTTTGTAGTAATGTTAACAAGAGCGGTATGTAGCCATGGTGCTGGAATGACACCTATAATTCCAGCCGCTTGAACTGGAGGGAGGTGGAGATCAGGAGGATGGAGATTCAAGGCCAGCCTACGCAAAGTCATCGCAAGACCCCATCTAACCAACAAAGCAGGGGTGACAGGCCTGCAGTCCCAGCTGTGCAAGCATTCTGAGGATGAAGGAGACACTATCAGAAAAAATAAATCAACAAGAGGGCGTGCGGCTCACTCCGGAGCCTGACGAGCGAACACAACACGCTGCCTCCCAGCCCTGGCACTACCACAAAGGAAAGGAAGAACCGCTATACAAATAATATAAATGGAATGTTCTCTGTAAGCTGCTGTCTCGCAAGAAAAGCGCAGAGGTTTGATAAAGTAGACCTTTTGGTTACAGTTCCCACAGCTCCTCCTCCCAGCCATCGCCCTCTTAGAATACGCAGCCTGCTCGGCTGTTGAATCCACCCTGCCAGCCTGGCCCCAGCCCAGACCGGCTTCAGCCAGAAGCATCACTAAACAATATAAACCTTGGATCACCCATCTCTCAGGCAGTGGGTTTTTTTTTCTTTGTTGGTCATGGGGCCTGAACTCTGGGCCTGGACGCTGTCCCTCAGCTCTTCAGTTCAAGGCGAGCGCTCTACCACTTGAGCCACAGCGCCACTTCTGGCCTTTTCTGCTTAGGTGGTGCTGAGGAATCGAGCCCAGGGCCTCGTGTATGCAAGACAAGCACTGTGCCACTGAGCCACCTTCCCAGCCCAGGCAGTGGTTTTTTTATATTCTCTGGTGATGGCACATTTGTGTCTGCATAAGACTTCCACCTACTAGATTGAAATTTCCTGGGAGAGAATAGTAGAGTCAGCTCCATAAGGACTTTCTAAATGAATGAATGAAACAGAGTGAGTGAATGAACAGAACAATGCAGTTAATGAAGCTCAGTGCATTAAGAGAAGCATTATGCAAAGCCATCACTAGCAGAGGTCCAATTATCTAATTGAAAGAAGCAGGAGCACTAATGGCGTGTGACAGCCAGGATAGGGAAATGACTCCTCTGTCGCCCCAGCGCCCGTTTTTATACTAATGCTGAAAGATCAGGTTATCTGGTGTGAAGAGGAACGCACAGAGAGCTTGCTCAGTGAGGATCCCACTAAAAGAAGAGCAGAAATCTCTCCCACCTCCCTTTGCACAGCCACACGTTGCTCACCCCAAGATCACACGGCCATCCCCAGCCAGGTCCCAATGCCAGGGATGTCACCAACCCCGCCCAGGGTGGGTCCTGCAGAACTAGAGCCGATGCTGAGCTGCACTTCCTGGACCTGAGGTGCTTAGGGCTCACCTTTGCCAGGTAGGAAAAGTGATCCGAAATGTGGGTTTCCATGTTTTTGCAGAGGCTGGAGGCAAGAAATGATCAGAGCAGTGAGATCTAGCATGTAGTGTCTCAGGTCTAGAGTCCCAGAAATCAGCTCCGAGACTCTGGCTAGCTCTGACTCAGTGTACACGGTGATCCGCATTAAACACAGCATCCTGCCTGTCCAAATAAAGACTCAGCGCAGGTGGCAACTGTAGACATTGTACAAGTGTCACATGGTGGACAGCACGGGTGTGCAACTGTCCCTCACAGCCTTCTGTCTTGACAAAGCGTTGCCAAGCTTGCACAACTCAGCTGAGAAAACTCCGATAAGATGCAGACTTAGATAAGAAGGCCGCTGGTTTCCTCCATCTATCACCTCTTCAGATTTCATGATAAATTCTTCCTCTGAGTTTTCTCTTTCCTCTTCTACAACCTATGCACTGATTCTCATTATCAAGGCTTAAAATAACTAGATCTTGAGGTAATATGAGTTAGAAGAAATTATTAGCATGCTTCAAACATGTCATTACTATTTTTCCTTCTGTATTATTGGGTATTCTAGAAAACACTAGATCCTAACAACTACAGAGCATGCACTGATTACCTCAATGAGACAACAATCATTGGTTAAGCTCACCACCCTCTGAGCGCCTATCTGGAGACTCCAACCTAAGTATCAGTGGTCAATGCTATTGCTATTGAAGGCCATTGCTATTTTTTTTTTTTTGGTGCTTTCTTCTGTCCTGCTTTCCTGTTGTACAATAGAGAATGACAGCATTCGCCTGCCATGCAGATGGCATAGAAGAGGCCACACCTACCACCCACTTGGCTTCTCCAGATGGAAGAGTTGGTCATGTTTGTGTCATGAAGGCCCAACTGCAGTCTTTTCAGAGCTTCTGCTCTAATCACTTAGGACTCCAGGTTCCCAGAGCAAATAGAAAGGCTCACAGTCGTCACAGTCTGTCTGGCAACAGGCACTGTGTCCTGCAACGCCACGGTGCTGATGCAGCTGTGGGTCACAAGTGCATCGAGATGGTGCGCAATGTGGCTCATGCCTATACTCCTCGCTACTCAAGAGGCTGAGATCTGAGGATCAAGGTTTGAAGCCAGCCAGGGCAGGAAGGTCCATGAGACTCTGATCTGCAATTAACCACCAAAAAGCCAGAAGTAGAGCTGTGGCTCAAGTGGTAGAGCACAAGCCATGTGGAAGGGAAGGAAAGGGGAGAGGAAAGAAGGGAATTGATTGGAAGCATAAACTATGTAAGATTTGCTTGAAGGTAATGTCTTTAAACTCATTACATTGACCTCTGAGTCACTGAAAGAAGAGCAGAAAACCCACACTCATGTCTCAGGTTTTGTGTTTACAGTATCCAGTGATGTTAACTATACCACTCACTTGAGCTTTTGGTTGATTTTCAGTCTTGTCTTTTTTGTAGAGCTATGATTTAAGCTCAGGCCTTGTGCGTGTCCTCTAAAGAACACCCCCAGTTTAATTAAGCTTTTGCTCATCTGTATAATGGGAAAAAGCAATCCCTGACTATCCCAGTAAATTGGTTAGTACCTCAAGGATAATATAGTAATACTGAGCCAAGTATGGTGGTACATACCTGTAATCCTTAACATTAAGGAAGTTGCGGCAGGACTGCGAATTCCAGGCCAGCCTGTGTACATAGCTACACCCTAACTCAAGAATATGGGGGGGAAATGTTAATATTAAAGTTAATACTTAACCCTTACTGAATAATTTTGCTATCTTTATCTGTTGCTTTATATTACTATATATATGTGTGTGAGAGATACCATTCTTACTGCATTGTACAGTTGAGAAAACTGAAACAGAGAGGCTAAGTAACTCCAAACCACACATTTAGCAAGTGGTGGAGCCAAGACTGTCAGACTGTAAAGTCTATGCTATAAGTATAGCTCTTAGATTCTCATTTCAAAAATAATGTACAAATACAAAACAAAAGTAATGTCATAGCGAGTACTGGGGTCCTTTTGCTGGAACTGGAGCTCTTTTAAGCAGCTTGGCTTGTAAGAGGAGAAGTAGGGAAAGACGGGACATGTACATGCTCCCGAAGCCCGGTTTGCCTGCGCTCCACATCCAGTTCTTCCCACCCGGACTGACGAGTGCAAGGCCGGAGCCTACATTCCATCGCATTATCATCCCTCAAGCCGCAAAGACAGAGAAGAGGATGAAGAACAACAACATAGTTAGCAAGATCACGGGAAATTTCCCCCTCCCAGAGCTGTCCAGAAGTTCAATGCTGAAGCTTGCTTCCCACATCCAGGGCACCACTGCAGAACTGAGAGCATTACTTATGAAACTACTTGGACCCACGGATTTCTGAAGCAAAATACCATGTGCATACCCCTCAGAGCTGACCGAGCTCCCGCCACAAGCTCAGTGGCACCTAACTCTATCATGAGTGGCTGCGGGAGAGACCAGGCCAACGCCGCACGCCCTGCGGAGGATCCGTCAGATACAGAGCTCTGCGTTACAGCCCATCGTTACCTTTCTACTGAGTTCTGTTTTGCTCCATCAGACAAGAGTCAAAACTCGAGTCAGCTCTGTTTGAGACATGATGCAGAAGAGACTTCGGGGAAATCTCACTCCTTAGGCCTCTGCTCTTCTGAAATCTTAGGCCTCTGCTCTTCTGAAATCATAGACTCTGCTCTTCTGAAATCTTAGGCCTCTACTCTTCTGAAATCATAGACTCTACTCTTCTGAAATCTTAGACCTCTACTCTTCTGAAATCTTAGGCCTCTACTCTTCTGAAATCATAGACTCTACTCTTCTGAAATCATAGACCTCTACTCTTCTGAAATCTTAGGCCTCTGCTCTTCTGAAATCTTAGGCCTCTACTCTTCTGAAATCATAGACTCTACTCTTCTGAAATCTTAGGCAGGATCGTCCTTCTGCTGAAATGAGCATTACCACTCACCATGGCGGTGTGCAGCGGGCTCTTCATCGTGACTCTGCTCGGCGGCGCTTCTGGTGCAGGGAGCGCGTCCTGCGTCGTCTCCCTGGGTGTAGGCTCTCCCTGCAGTGTAGTCAGGAACACCTGTCAGCTTTATAACAATCACTGCTGCTGTTTCCACTGACCTGCTTCTCTCTGTCACTTGTGGTTGACCCAGAGTTACTGACTAATGCAGGGTGGTTTTTTTTTCTATTCTATTTCCTGAAGGGAAATCAAAGGGAGACCCTAAAAAAAAGATGACAAAAAAATGACCGAATCTTCCTTTTCTTCTACCCCCTTCCACCCCTGCCACTACCCTCAAGTTACCGTGAAATTCTTAATCTACTACGGAGATGAACCAAGTTGCACATTTCCTCTCCCAGAATTCACCAAAGGCTGTGTGGTGTCACGCACCCTGTGAGCTATGACGGATGAGGGAGATGTCCCCCTGGGTGGGGCTTGCTGGGAAACAGCAGGTCTACCTTTACAGCCATCTATGGATGGGAAAGCAAACCCCGCAAAATAAACAGTGTCAGTAACTGATTCCCAAATTGCATCCTCAGATAGTTTTATGGTCTCCTTGAACTAATTTTTCACCCTATAATTAGACTACGGGGTCTAATCATAAGTTGTTTATGCACACGACATGCCATTAGCTTGACTATATGATTAAAGATCACTTTTCTTCAGGAAAATTAATTAGCAAATAGAAGCCTTTAAGTGCTCATTTGTCTCTGTTCAGTTCTGTTTCAATAAATGCTTTTTTTAGTAGCATCAATTAAGTGGCGGGGGGGGATCATCTTGACATGCCCTGCGTACACACAACGTACTCTATTGAGTCTCCACCTCCCACACCAATTTAAACGGGCTTCATTTGTCCAGTTTTACAGGCACTGTGCATGAACATTACTATCTGGGCCATGGCTGACCTCCTTTATCCTCTCTGTTCACCCTGGCTCCTCTTAGTTCTCACAGCCCACACGGGACCTTCAGCAAGCCCTAATCAAACGTCTGCTCTCTGACACCATCGTTTCCAAGAGGTTGTGACTGCCATTATTAAGTCTCCGTGTTGATCAGGTAAAATTGTACATGCTCTTTTCAAAAGGCAGGACATCAAGTTATTTTCCTCTTTCATTAACTTATTGGAACAACCTTTTCTCCATTGTTTTTAACTGAACAAAATGGCAAAGGAGTTTTCTGGGGTTGGTGAAAGGCCTGTACCACTATCAAGTCGGTGAACATGGGCCTTTTGTTGTTGTTGTTGTTATTATCATTGTAGAGGTGATCTTTAGAGGGGCTAGTTACACGAATCAGGTACTGAGTACAATTCTTTTTGAACAGTGTCTGCCCTTCCCTCACTTTCTCCCAGGTTTTCCCTCTCATCCCCACCCATAACATAGTCAGTTCATGTCCCACATCTGTCCCGAGAGTACCACTGTTGTATTTGTTCACCCGTAACAT